GGATTCCTGTAGCCTGGCTGAGGAGGGACCCACCCCCAGCCCTGCCGAGCCCCCTCCCCCAAAACTACACCCTCACCCAAGGGTTGGGGTTACCCCCCATCATCCTCAGCAGGCTCAGAAATCAGAGTGCTGAGGGAGGGGCAGCTGCAGGACCCCCCCAGCCATGGTTTGGGGGTGCTGAGGGAGCCCCTGTGCAGGGGGGGGGATGTGATCCTACCTCTGGGTGTTTGTCCCTAGGGAGGTGGCTGAAAACACGGCTGGAGAGGGGGATAAATGGGATAAACCCCCGGCCCTGCCCCATTTCTAACCCCTTTTGCACCCAAAAAACGCCAGGGGAGGCTGCTAGCCCCACCCCAGCACCAACATTCCCAGTTTTCCTGGGGGAAGGAGAGCATGGGTGGGAGTTGTGTTGGTCTCTGCAGGTTGGTGGCCTCCCTGGGACCCCTCAGTTCTGGTGAGGAGCCAGGGGAAGCAACAGTGAAGGTGGAGGAGCCCCAACAGCCAAGCTCATAAAAACCTGGTGACCAGCAGGAAAGGATCACAGTCCACTTCTCCCTGTCCTCCCGGGGCTGAGACATCTCCAAATAAAGCCTCCTCCCTGCCAACTCCTGGAAAAAAAAAAGCTTGCTCAAAGCCAGGAGATGTTAAGAAGATGCTTTCAGCACCAGCTCCTCTTTCAGGATGTTGCCCACCCTCTTGGGAAGGGAGGATCTTGGGAGGAAAACCTGCCCAGGATGGGACTGGATCTTCGTGGAGTTGGGTGAGGGATGGTGGGTGGGATCCAGGTGGGAAAAGGGGACACAAGAGTCAGAGGGAGGAGGAAGAGAAATGCTGCCCCATGGAGGGTGTGGGGCTGCAGAGCCAGAGGAACCCTCAGGGTGCTCCTCCTCCCAGGGAGCAGCAGCCCAGCCCCCGGTGTAGCTAATTAGCAGGAGAATCCAGCCTCGTTAGTGATAATTGGTGCTTGATGGAGGTGAAAGGCTCCTCAGATCTCCCCTAGATCTGCCTGGCTGTGGCTCCAGGGACAGGGTCCCACTGAGGAGCTGGGCACCAGGAGACAAAGACTTTTCTTCTTGGACTATTTTATTTGGTAAAACCCAAGAAACCAACCAACTGATGGAGCTTCCCAGAACTTCCCTCCCTGAGTGGGTCCTATGGAGAGGGAGAGAGGAGCACATTGTCCTGCTCGGCTCAGTCGCCCAGGTGGGTGAGAAACCTGAGCCCAAACAGTCTCCTCAGCTTGGGATGTCTCCTCCAGCCCTCGTTTCCTCTTCCCAAAAATAACCCCCCCCCCCCCCTCCAAGGGATCGAGAAGAATCCAAAACGAAATCAGAAGGCAAACAAAAAAAGGAACCATAAAAGATACTAAAGGACAACGGGGAAGAGCAAATCCAGGCGGGGGCGCCGCTCACCCGAGGAGAGCGACCAGCAAAGCCCAGCTCTGGGGCAGCAGCCAAGTCCAAGGAATTTGGGAATCCAAGCAGGAGATGCTGTGGTGGTGGAGCAACACCCTCCCTCCCCCCCCAAATCCCTAGCAAGCTGGTTCCCCCCTTCAGAGACTCCTTCCCCCTCAGGCATCCCCTGTGGATGTTCTTGGGGGTTGGTTCTCCAAAGCTGCAGGTGGGGAGAAGATTCCCTTGCTCGACGTGGAGGAAAAGGGCCAGGGAAGGATCATTCTGGATCCTGCTAATGGATCCGGGTCAGCTCCTCCACGATCTTGATCAGGTCGTCCACGGTGGCCTCTCTTTTCATGCCGCTGCCGTCGTCGATCTGGGAGGGGAGAAAAGGCATCAGGGGAGGGACAAGGAGGGGCAGGGATGTGATTGGTGCTCCATGGGTGAGGGGGAAAGGGGTGGATCTTTGTCTTCCTAGGCTTTAGTAAAGCTCTGGAGATGGTTTCCCACAGCATTGTGCTGGAGGAACTCATGGTTGGATGGGTTTCTGCTGCCCTGGGTGGGAGGAGGTCACTCCAGTGGGTGGCTGGTCACCCTGTGCCCCAGGGCTCAAGTGTTGGGGCCAGTTCTGTTTAACATCGTTGTCAATGATCTTGGTGAGGGGATCAAGTGCTGCCTCTGTCACCCTGCAGGTGACACCAGGTTGGGAGGGAGTGGGCTTGAGGGCAGGAAGGGGCTGCAGAGGGATCTGGACAGGCTGGATCCATGGGGAGAGGACAACTGTATGAGGTTTAACCAGGCCAAGTCCTGCTCTTGGGTCACACCAAACCCAGGCAAAGCTTCAAAGGGCTGTCAGGCCCAGGGCAGGGGTGGAGTCCCCATCTCCAGAGGAGTTTCAAAGCCATGTAGATGTGGTGCTGAGGGACATGGGGCAGTGGTGGCCTTGGCAGGGCTGGGGGAACAGTTGGACTGGAGGATCCTGAAGGTCTTTTCCGACCCAAATAAGCATAGAGGACCAACTGACTTACTGCAGCCTGGATTCCCAAGCAGGATCCCTATGGCTAATTCTGAAGGTCCCAAGGTCCCATCACCCATCTCACCTGCAAGTTTGCCACCACCTCCTGCATCTTGGGCCTGCTGATGTCCAGGAAGCTCTCGATCAGGTCCCCGTCAATGAAGCCCGTGGCCGGTTCCGTCTTGCGCTCGGTGTGAAATGATCTCCAAGTGCCACCGTCAAGGAGCAGAACCCAGAGGGAATAACCACCAGTCCAGGACTTCCACATGGAGTGACACCAGCCCTGCACTAAGGCTGCCCACAAGGATACCACCCCAAGCATCTCAGAAAGATCCTAGAACTTGTGGCACGTCTTTAGGGCTCCCTTTGAGCCCATTCTCCAACCCTGCAGGAGAAGGCTCCACTCTCCTCCCACAGGCACCTTCTCTTGGAGCACAAAGCACCTGGCAAACACACCACCCACCCTCCTTCTCCACCAGTGTCCCAACAAGGAGAAACCAGCCACCCCACAGAGTCACAAGCCCCCAGGATTGACTGGCCCAGGCTCCTGATGGAACTTCCAAAGGATATAAAGAGTGTTCAATCTTGCCCACGCTCTTGATGACTTTATTCAGCCTGTTCTGCATGTCCAGGAGGAGGTTGTACCAGCTCTCTGACAGGGAGGTCACCAGGCCTGCAAAAGGGAGCAGAAGGTTCAGGGCTCATCCCCCAAGTGGAAGCTGGTGCCTGGGGGAACTGGGATCAGGAAGGAGTTTCAAAGAAAACCAGAGGATTTTCCTCTGCTGGAAGGAATCCAGAGAGAAAAAGGAGGTTTCTGAAGGGAGAACAGCAGAGAGTGTCACTTGATGGGCAAACAGAGAAGAATGGAGATGTGAGGAAACCCCAGGCCAGGTTCTGCAGCAGGGAAGGGGACCTGTCACCCTCCTGCCCAGGCTGGGGACCCCAGGCTCTCACCAATCATGCCGTTGACTGTGCCAAAGAGAACCGAGCCCTGCGTCGGTGTGGACGTCTCCCCCAGGTTCTGCATGACCAGGGATCCGTGGCAGAAGACGTTGACAAACTCCCCCAGGTGGGACAGTCCCACCTCCTGCAAGTGCTGCCGTTCCTCGTCGGTGGTGGCGGCGCTGGAACCCAAAGCACCCTGGCTCAGACTGGGCTGAGGTGACAGGAAAGCTCCCCCTGCTCCCACCTCATCCTTCCTGGGAGCTGGGAATGCTCCTCCCAGCTTTCCAGCCTGACCCACGTGTGGAGAAGAAGCCCAGAAGGTCCTGTCACCCCACCCCCTCCTATCACACACAGGTAGGTGCCTCTCCCAGCCAGCTCACCTGTCCTTCTGGCACACAAACAAATTGAAAGCGTTCTCTGCTCCCAAGAAGTTGTCATCATCCAGGATCTCCACGGCGCTCATCCAGTTTGGATTGAAGTCCCGAGCAATCTGGAAGGGGACAAGAGTGTGCACAGATGGCCTGGCCTGTCATCCAGCATCTTCATTCCACCCAACACCAACACTGAGGAGCAAGGTGGGAGCCAGGCTGTCCCTCTCTGCTACACATAGCAGCTGAGCAGAAGGCTCCAAGTGCCTTCTGGAGCTGGCCCTTGCCCAAGTGGCACCTGGACAATGCCAGGACACTCCCGTGCCAAGGCTGTGCCATCAGGATTTAGGTGCACAGAGTGTCCCACCCCCCAGCTCTGCTGATGGAGATGCAGCCATGGTGGCACGAAGCCATTCCAACCACACCATGGGCAGCCCAGATGGCAGCTCTTCTCAAAGCTGCCAACTCCTTCCCCAATTCCCTGAAAGCCTGGGGATCCATCCCTCCAGAAACCACAGGGATCTGTCTAAAAGCACATCAAGGTGATGCTGCTCTGACTGCACAGCCCTAAATCCTTGTCCTCCATGGTGGGGTCAGCCAGACTCTTCCTCTGATGACCTTCAACACGGTGTCCCCTGCCCAGATCCTGCTGGAACAGGCAGCACAACCTCCCAGAACCCCTTTGACCACAACTCATTGAATACCTCCTCAAAGTTCCCTTCCATGGGCTTGTAGGCAAGGAGGAGGACAGACCTCATCAGGTCTCCTACCAGGATGAAGTCCCCCTTGGTCTTCAGGTAGAGAGCCATGATGTTGTTGTAGTGGTTGCACTCGGTGCGCAGCTCCTTCTCGGCTGTCCACTCGTACAGCCGGACCTGGGGACAGGGACACAGCTGAGAGCCAGCAGGGTCACCCAGGACAGGCTTCCCAAAAGGGATGGGGGGACCTGGCTGACATCTGCAGAAGCTGGAAGGAGTGTGGCCAGCAGGACAAGGGATATTATTGTCCCCCTGTGCTGGGTATTGCTGAGGCTGCATCTCAAATCCTGCGGGCAGTTCTGGGCCCCTCAGGACAAGACGGACGTGGAGGGGCTGGGGGGTGGCCAGGGAAGGGCAAGGGGGCTGGGGAAGGGGCTGGAGCAGAAGGAGAAGGGGCTGGAGAACTTGTGAGGAGCAGCTGAGGGAGCTGGGGGTGTCCAGCCTGGAGCAAAGGAGGCTGAGGGGAGACCTGCTGGCTCTGCAGCTGCTGAGAGGAGGTTGGAGCCAGGGGGGTCGGGCTCTGCTCCCCAGGAACAAGGGATGGGACAAGAGGGAACGGCCTCAAGCTGCACCAGGGGAGGCTGAGGTTGGATCTGGGGAACAATTCCTGCCTGGGAAGGGTAGTCAGGCCCTGGCCCAGGCTGCCCAGGGCAGGGGGGGAGTCCCCATCCCTGGAGGGGTCTCCAAGCCCTGGAGATGGTGCTGAGGGACATGGGGCAGGGGTGGCCTGGGCAGGGCTGGGGGAACAGGTGGGACTGGAGGGTCTGAAAGGGCTTCTCCACCCAGCAGGACTCAGGGAAGGCCCTACCGTGCTGTTGATGCTGGCCAGCAACTTCCCATTGAACTCCACCATGGAATACACAGCTCCCTTCACCTCCTTCTCAGCCAGGCTCTGCAGCTTCCCTGGAATCAAGCCCCACACCACCCAGTCAGTTGCCCTGGGCTGCCCTGTCAGCCACTGCTCCCCCCAGGAACTGTCCCAGAGGATCTGGGGACAAGTAGCACGAGGGTGACACGACAACAGGGGCAGACAGACAGAAAGCAAATCCCAGAATCCAGTTCTGGTGAGGAATTCTTGGAGTTCTCCAGGAGATATGGGGAGAGGGAGCACAGTGTGACAGCCTGCAGCAGTGACAGCACCTACAGACCCTGCCTGCAGGTCCCTCTGGAGAAACTCCTCCTGCTACTGGGATGTGAGCTCCCCCTGGGGCTGAGGAGCTCACCTCTGCTGTCCCTCAAGCAGAAGGTCACCATCAGTGGACCAGGCCACAAGAGAAGGCCTTGCTCTTACCATCAGAGTAGTGGAAGACAACGATGCGGCCCTGCTTGGGCTCAGCCTCCTCAGGATAGACCATGGCAGTGCCCACGATGAAGTAGGTGTTGGGATCCTTGCCCAGTTTGCAGGAGACCAGGCTGAGGGCGTACTCGTTCTGCAGGAACTGGTGAGCATGGAGCACTATGGAGAGAAGGAAAAGCAGCAACAAACTTTGTCCTCCCAGGTCCTGGCAGAGCAGCTTGCTTAGGGGCAGCTGAAAACTTCAGCTAGGTCCAAGGTGGCTGCCTGGAGATCCCTTCCCCACTCTCCACCACCACTTTGTGCCATTAAAAAACCACCATGACTTAAACCCATGGCTGACACTCCTCCAGGAAAAACACCGAGTGATGGCAACTGGGCAAGATCACAGATCTCCACCCAGCCTGTGAGGATCACAGGTCCCAGCCACGTGCTGATGGGCTTGTCCTGGAGGAGAGAAGTGGGCCAGGGTTTGGGGGTGGTACCTTCAAAGGTGTGCTGGTCTATGATGAGCAGGTTGTGCACCTCCACCTCCTCTCCAAAGGAGGTCTCGTGCGGCGCGGTGCTGCTGGAGAAGAGCTTGCTGGTGCTCACACTACTGGAGAGGGCCTAGGACACAGGAGAAGATTTGTCACATCCTCCTGCTCCTTGGCATGTCCTCACACTGCTGAGGCAACATGGAACCAGCATGGGAGAGAAGGTGGAGCGAGGAGCTCCTGCACCAGCAGAGAAGTGTGGCAGCACTGCTGAGGAACAGCTTTAATGGAGAAGTTTAGGCAGCGTGGTGGCTTCTACCAGAGCCTGAAGGGGACTTGTGCCTCCATCCCTAGCAGGAAACCACTTGGGAGACCAAACAGAAGGAAGGCTGAAGGAGCAGCACCCAAAAGGCAAGGTGATCTGACCCAACGCTGAGCTGGAGAGCAGCACAAAGAGCCCTCCTCACCACCATGGGGGAGGTCCCAAAGGGCCAGCTTCCACTCAGGGCTTTGGAAGAGAAGATCACCCAGGAAGTTCTGCACCCTGGTTTGGCCCGAGGAGCTGTGACATCCACAGCCCAGGGGTGACCCAGCAGCTCACCTGGGTGCTGGCACTGGGCCTGAGTGCAGTGGTGCCCCCGCTGGCATCCTGCACCTCGATCCGACTGGAGAGCACCCCAAAACACTGAGACACCTCCTGGTAGCAGATCTTCCTGTAGGACAGAGACGCCTGGGTGGGCAGGAGAGCCAGGACAGGCTGGTCCAAGGACAGCAGAGAAGCTCTGGAGGTGGAGCTGCTTGCTCGCCCAGGCTGCTGGTGGCACAAGCCACCCGTTCAGCGCGAGTCCTGGGTGACAGTGAGTGCCAGGTGTCCCCCCAAGCTGGTCACCCCACCAGGTTCCCTGCCCAGCTCACCTGGGAGACTCGTAGAGCGGCACCGTGCGGATGTGCAGCTTCTGGATCTCATCAATGGTGCCAATGGTCAGGGTGCTGTTGTTGGCCAAGGCCAAGCTGCAGAGGAACCAAAACTCCCATGAGCAACGGCACGGGGGAGGTGGGTGGCTCAGTGAGAACCTCCCTCTCCTCCACACCCCCCACCCTGTGAGAGCCTCTTCCTTGATCCCAGGATCCCGTGGCAGAGCCCAAACCTCCGCGCCCCCCAGGCTCACCTGTCGGGGTAGCCATCAGAGTTGAGAGGACACATGTAGTTGACCTCCTTCAGGTTGACGTTGGAGAAGACCAGCTTGTGGTTGCTGCTGTAGATGACGGTGGGGCGGTCGGAGCAGGCGAAGACGTTGGTGGTGGAGAGGGAACGGAAGGTCCTCAGCACCGTGGGCTGGGTCCCCAGGGTCACCTTCTTGCGGTCACTCAGCAAGCCTGAGGAGGAGGAGGAGCAGTGTCAGGAGCCACCACGGGGACCCTGCGACCCCCAGTGCCCGCCCAAGCCTGACCCCGCCGCAGCGAGGATGGGAAAGAGGGGGGTCTCCAGGAGGATGAAAGGAGGAGTGTCCAGGAGGTCAGAAGGGGACAAGTCCAAGCCACCTGCTGGCCCCTGTGGTCACCTGTCTCAAGGCTGAGCCCGAAGTAGAAGAGAGCTCCATCCCCCAAGGCACAGAGGAGGTAATGGCTGCTCTCAAAGGTGGTCATCAGGATGGAGCGAGGGATGATCTCTGCAGGGAGCAGAAGGTCCGTGTCACTCCCAGCTCAGCCAGGTGACACTGACCACTGCCACCCCACCCCAGCAGCCCCCAGAAGGGGGTCCTACCTCCTCCCAGCATCTCCTTGTGCAGAAGTTCAAAGGAAGGCAGCTTGAGGATGCGGGCAGAGATGTCAGTCCAGAGCCCGATGGCACACAGAGGGGACATGCCATTGCTGTCCCCCAGGGGGGTGATGTCCAGGCAGGCAACTTCATGCTCCATTTCTGTGCAGCTGGCAGGGAAGGGGGAGCAGGCAGAGGGATCAACCTGGAGCCCAAGAACAACCAGGCTGAGAGGCCAGGAGGAGGGATGTGGACTCACCTGATCTGCCTGAGCTCCTGGGGTCGGATCTCCAGGTAGTACAGGGCTCGCCCCACGGCCACCACCACCTGGTTGCTGTTGCAGGAAGCCACGCTGATATTCTTCCCGTTGGGCTCTTTCCACTCACTCACCAAGGCTTTGGGCTCCTGGCTGACCAGTCTCACTGAGGCAGAGGTGATCTGGGCAGAGAGAACATCCCTGCTGAGGGCCACCAAAACCACCTCCCTGCCCACATCCCAAGTGTTGCAAAGTCCTGCACGGATCCAGGTGAGCCCCACCACAGATAAGGGCTTTGGGGTCACCTGGACAGACACATCTGGATTTCCCTCACTCTGACATTACCTGGATCAACTGCTGATGTGCCACGTTGCCACAGAAGAAGGTCTGCTGATCATCCACAAACCCCGTGAGCTCTGTCTCTTCCACTTCCTCCCCATTCAACATCAGAACCCTGAGGGGAAAGGGAAGGGGAGCTCCTCTTAGATCCTGCCCCAACAGCTCCTCTTAGATCCTGCCCCAACACCTCCTCCTCCCAGCCCTTGCTCCAACACACAGCTGAGAGCCTGGCTCAACCTTAACCCCACCTCACCTGGTCTGGCCAACAAAGGACAGCACCAAGGTGTTGTCTGTCTCACGCTGAGAGTCAGACCTCAGGGGCCACAAGCCTGTGACAAAGAGAGGCCACATTTGTCCCCCAGGGCCTACAAAGAGCTGAGGCCTCGGGGCACTGGGTTGTGTTTGGCACCTTTGATCCCAGGTAGGTCAATGCTGGCGTGTTCGTGGATCCCGATGCCATTCCTGATGATCCTCAGGGAACCCTCCTTGAAGGCTCCTGAGCACGTAACCAGCTGGAGGAAAAGCAAATCATCTCTACCAACTCTTCCCCACTCACTGAGAATTTTTGCATTCAAGAATTGAGCCTCCAGTTCAGCCTGCTCTTCAGTGGGACCTCAAAACCAACCCTACACCTGGAGAAGACTTTGAGACCCTCCAAGAAATGGTTTGGAGTCTTTTCCCTCCTGTGGACAACCCACCATACACCTGACCAACCCACCCAGGGAGAAAAGCAAAGCAGAATCCATGTTACCTGCCCTTGGCCTTGTCTTTCCAGGTCCACCACACACATGTCAACGATGGGACCAAGGTTGGTGAAGGTCTCCATGGCCACCACGTAGGAGCCCTGCTCGTTGCTGTCCACGTTGAGCTAGGAGGAAGAAACACCACCATCAGCTTCCAGGCAGGCCAAGCAAGTGGAAAGGGTGTGGGACAAGGAGAAGAAAGGAAAGTGTATCCACATCCTGAGGTCAGGATGAGAAGAAATAAGGATAAAATCCAGTCAGGAGACAAGAGCTGAGGCAGGAGGTGCCACGTACCTTCACCAGCTGGGAATCCCCCAGCCGAGAGCCCACAAACACAACTCCATTGTCCAGGTAGGTCAAGCACTCTGCAATGGATGTCTGGGAATTGGGAAGATACAGATGAACCATCACCAGCGTGAGGAGGATCCCACCACCCCCTGCAAGTACCAGAGCCCAGCTGCAGCCCCCACAGGAGAACCCTTGAATCCCTTGACAAAACCCATGGAGAGGCCAAATTTCCACCCAGGACAGCCCACCAGCAGCAGGGAATGAAATGGGGAAGTGTCCAGACAGGGAACTTCCCTGGCACTGTGACAACTGTGAAGCATCACCCCACCCCAGGCTCCAAAATAACATTCCTGCCCCTCAGGAGACCATGGAGACTCCCAGCCCCGTGTTGACAAGGGACAGTAAATGTGATGTGGTCAGATCTTACCTCGCCGAGCAGCTCCACACGCAGGTCCTTCAAGGTGACAGTGCCATCCATCTGCTCCTCCTTCTCCAGGAGCAGCATGAAGAGCCTTCCTTCCATGTCCCCCAGCAAGTAGCGGGATCCGTTGGGATCCACGCGGTTGTGGCACACGATGGTACTTTGCTGCAAGCCAAGGTGGAGGGTATTTTAGGGGAAATCACCCCCCAAAAAAGGCAGGACCACCTCTGTGGGTGCCCAGAGGGGACAAGCACATCCAGAGGGCACCAGGTCCTGGCTGGAACCACAGCAGAGTCCTGCTCCTCCCGAGGAGACAGGACGGGATTTGCCCTTCAACAAACATTCACACTGATGCACACAACCAGAATCTGGGGTCAAAAAGTCTCATTTTAGGTCCTCACATCCCTAAATGAAACATGTCACCAGCTTGTCCACAGGCCAGGAAAGATGCCACCAAAACCTGGGCGTTTCCTGGATGCAGGAATGTTAGGTGGGACCTGCAGAGCTCCAAGCCTGCTCCACCTCCAGCCCCAGCCTCCTGCAGGTGTTGGTGGGCTCTGCCTGACCTCCTGTCAACATTGGTCAGGCAACATTAGTCCTTTTTACCCAAATTTGAGAGGTTTTCCTCCACAGTTTTCATTGTCTCCAGCTCAAAAGGACCTTCTGCTCCCAGATCTCCTCCAGCCCTGAGCAGCACTGTAACCATTTAAAGTGGGAACTGGCCCATCCCTCTGACACAAACCACCAGCTCAGCTCCTGTCACAAACTCTTGTGAGCCTTTTTTGGCCTCTGAACAACTGTCCCAGTCCCACACTGGTGGACTCAAGTCTCCAAATGTTCAGATCTTCCAGCTGCCTGAAATGGACACAGACTCCAGCCTGGATCCATGCCCAAACCACCTGCTGCCTCCTGAGGAATCCCTTCCTCTGGGGCTCAAACAAGACTTTAGTTTTGCTGCCCTGCCTCCCAGCACTCTGAGGAGAGCAGGGCCAGAGCAAGCACCACCAGGACAAGGATGACACAAAGTCCCCAAACCCACAGACCAGGCATGGTGTGAATACTCTGGACTCACCAAACCCCTGGGAGTCAGAAGCTTTGTTAAACTACACTGAGAGATGAAGAGTTTAAATTCTTGACTCCCAGGAGCCCAGGATCCTTCAGGCACTGCAAGAGATGCCTGGAAATGGAGGAAGGACATGGGGGGTATGTCTAGATCTCCATGGTCACTCACCTTGATGATGGGTGGAGCTATAGCAAGATACTTGTCTCCATTGTGGTAGGTGATGGACTCCTGCCCGATGATGATTGCACCCCCAAAAGGCTCTGGCACTAGGAGAAGAACACAGGAGGGATCAGGGAAGCCATGCAGCATTCCTGAGGGACAGGGCCTCCAGGAGGGGAAGGCAGGGAAGATCTTTCACCAAGAAGGACCAACCTGCAATGACCATGGAGGCTTCAGCCTCCACGTTCTCCTGCTTCCAAGGCCCTTTGTTAAACTCCTTCTCACGCAGGGACACCTCGTAGGTCTTGACGTGGCGACCTTGAGGGTCCTGGAAGAGAAGCCACAAATGATGTCATATGCTGATGTGGTGTCTCCTCCCATTCCACAACTACCCCAAAATTCTCCCTCTCCAAATCCAAACCCTGTGAGAATGATTAATACACTGAGAAGGAATCAAAGCAACAGCAGCTTGGAAACGTTCCCCTCTCCACACAAAACAAAGCCTGAGCTTTATGTGAGGCCTCATGAGTCAGAACTTCCACCTGGCTCCTGCTGCAGGGATAAAATCCCTCTTCATTTACTCTTTAATTAAGCAACACCTCTTTATAAGGAATCAGCTGTTAACAGATGTGCTCATTTAACCTGTCAAGGTGACACATCTCCAGACCAGACCTTCTTAACTTGCTGACCCCGTGACCAAGCTCCTCCTTCACGATGCTCCTGAGCACTGGGGTGGAAACTGCCCCATTCCTGACATGGAGTCAAAGGATTTGGCCAAATCCTCATCCATCCCTGCCTCAGTTTCCCCAGCAATGGGCCCTGAGCAAACCCATGGGTACACTCAGCCCTTCCCAGAGCATCATGTCCCCACCATGAGGCCTCCTCACCTTGGAGAAGTCACCTAGGCACTGAGTCAAGCTCAAAAATCCACAGTAATGCTTATTTTTCAGGTCAAGCCTCTCCCTCCTCAAGCTGGCATTGGAATGGAGGATGGAGATTCCACCACCTCTCTGGGCAACCTCCACCAGAGCTCAGTCACCTTCACTTTATCATCAACAGGTGACTGTTGATTAAACTTCACATGCAGTGGAGGAAAGAGGTTTGACCATGAAACCCTCTCACAAAGTCCAAATCTCCCAGTTTGCATGGACTGAATTAAAAACACTCCCCCCCAAAATTCCTGAGCACAATCCCAGGAGGAGCTGCCTGTTGGATTCTTTTCCCCAGGCTCCTGATTCTAGCAGCTCAAATCCAAAAAATAATTCACACTAAGAGGTACAATTCTCAAAAGTTGGCTGTGGGACCAGCAGGTCTGTGCCAGGATTGGCTTCAGTGTGTTCCCAGAAAGGTTGGACCAGATGATCCTGGAGGTCCCTTCCAATCTGGCATCCTAGGATTCCATGATCCCTCCCTCTGTTTCCTTCCCTTTCCTTGTCCACAAAATTGTCACCTGAGCATCTGGGAGGTAGGGAGGATGTGTGACAGCAGGGGACACGTCCCAGCAGGGCTGATGAGCTCTGTCCTGCCACAGGGGCACCTCTCAACCCCTGCTCCTGTGGTGACAGAGGGATATTTCTCCCTCCCTGTCTCCACTCAGTGACCTCCACAGGGGGTTTCAACAACCCCCAAACCTCTTGGAAAGAATAAAAGTGAGTTTTGGAAGAGGGAATAATCAAGGTGCTGCTGCCACGTGCTTTGTAATGGGAAACTTGTGTCATGAGAGCCAAGAAGCTGCCCTCAATTCCCATCCAATCCTGTGCTGCCATCCCAGCAACGTTCAGCTCAGCCCAGGCTGAACTTTGGCAAAGCCAAGATAATCTCCAGCTCAGTCAGCAGAACAAGCAAAGGCTCCTGGGGGCAAGAAGAGGGTTGAAAGAAGGGTGTGCAACACTGCCTGGGTGACAGGGGAGGATCTCCTAGAGCAGATCCCACAGGAACACGTCCAGATGGGTTAGGAACGTCTCCAGAGAAGCCACAGCCTCTCTGGGCAGCTTGTCCCAGGGCTCTGTCACCCTCAAGGTCAAGAAGTTCCTCCTCATGTTGAGATGGGACTTCTCAGGCTCAAGTCAGTGCCTGTGACGTCTTGTCCTGTCACTGGGCAATGCTGAGAAGAGCCTGGCCCACCCTTCTGCCACCCACCCATCAAGTATTTGCAAGCACTGATGAGATCCCCCTCTCCAGCACCTCTTCTCCACACTCAACAGCCCCAAGCCCCTCAGCCTTGGAACAGCAGGGACATGGCCCAGTCCCCTCATCAGCTCTGGAGCCCTTTGCTGGCCCCTCTCCAACACTTCCTTGTCCTTTAGCAACTGGGGAGCCCAGAAATGGACACAGTTCTCCAGATGTGGCCTCACCAGGGCAGAGCAGAGGGGCAGGAGAACCCCCCCTGACCTGCTGGCCACACTCTTACTGATGCCCCCCAGGAAGTCATTGTCTTTCTTGGCCACAAGGGGACATTGGTGGCTCATGGCCAGCCTGTTGGCCACCAGGAATCTTTTTCCACAGAGCTGCTTTCCAGCAGGTCAGTCCTCAACCTGTTCTGACTCTGGCTCTGCTGGACAGATCCTCTGGAGTGTTCCAGAAGGGAATGGCCCCACCTGAAGCTCTCCTCTGGGACAGCCTTGCTGCCCTTCTCCCAGAAGCAGCAGCACAGAGGAACAGGGACTTCCCTCAGCTCCCCAGGGAGGCTGCAGAAAAGCAGCATTCCCTCAGGACACTTCCCACAGCTCCAAAACCCTCTTGGCAGACCTTGAGAAACCTTGGCTGGTGCCTCAGCAGCTCCCACCCGTTTTACCCCGCGGAGGAGGTGGTACCTGGTAGACGAAGCAGATGGTGGGGGCCTGGCAGCCATAGAGGAACTTGACATCAATGACCTGGAGCTCTTCCAGGCGGATGTTGAAGGCCTTTAGCTCCTTGTTCTCCCTGTCCAAGGGAATGACCTTGAAGAGCCCATCGTAGAGGCGCAGCCCGATCATCCGGCACTCGGGGTCGATGATCCCGATGATCCCGGTCTCCGAGGGGCGCCCGATGCGATCCTGAGGGGGTGACATGCATGGAGAGGGGACAGGGAAAGGGCTGTTAGTGCCAGGAAGACACCCCACCCACCCCCAGGTGGGACTTGAGACTCCCTTGTGGCCTCTCAGCTGAGGCAGGGCTCCCTGCACAGCTCCCAGCAGGATTCAAACAGCACCGAGGTGATTTTTGAGGCATCTCCCACCTCAAGCAGCAGGGATTTCCCAGCTGAGAGCTTGGCACAGCTCCCACACTTCCCCCCCTCTTCCAGGAACCAGGCTCTTCAGGAGAGGACCCTGCAACTGGTTTTCCAACCCCAACCATCTGGGAGAACCCATGTGGCTGCCCCAAGCCATGCAGCTCCCATATCCAGGGAGCACAAATCACCCTTCCCAAATCCCACCCTGTTATCAGCTCCCACAGATCCCTCAGGAGCTGATATCAGCATCTCCACCTGCCATTAGCCAGAACCCTGGCATGAGAAGATTAAGCACTTTTCCCCCCTAAAATAAAACCCCTCCCTAAGAAGTCACTGACAGGATGTGCCCTCCTGTGTATCCTACCAGGAACCCCCTGCTTGGTTTCACCAAAGGAATCTCAGTGCCTGGAAACAGATGGAAAACATTTGGGCTTCTGGAAATAATCAGTTGGCTCATGACAACTCAGAAGCCAAAGAGCCACGTGGGAGTTTTGGACCTGCTGCAAAAGCAATGGGGTTTTAATCCCCATTCAACAGAACATCTACCTTTGTGGCCAAATTGGAAGAGTAATTCCAGCAGAACCTCTGGACTGGCCACAAAACACCTTGGGAATCGTTTGCCAGGGAAAATTCTACTTCATGGTGTGTTTTCAGCCCTAATTCTTTTTACAGAATATCTGAAATGAACCTGATTCTTCTGCAAATAACCCCAGGAACACAATAGTTGTCCTGTCCTCACTCCCTGAGGCTGGGACTGCCTCCCTGCAGGCAAAACCCTCTGGGAATGCCAGTGGGAGCAGGAGACTGAAGTCAGCAGTAGAAAAAGAGTCATATCTAAGGAGGAGGAAATCCATCACCTTGGCTTGTCCTCCTCACTGGCAAAGGGAAATCACCCCCAGGGAAGGGAATTTATAGAATCCTGGAATGTTTTCAGTTGAAGGGACCTTCAAGACCATCTAGATCCAACCCCCTGCATGGACAGGGACACCTCCCACCAGCCCAGGTTGCTCCAAGCCCCATCCAACCTGCCCTTCAACACTGCCAGGGATGGGGCAGCCACAGCTTCCCTGGGCAACCTGGGCCAGGCTCTCACCACCCTCACAGGGAAGAATTTCCTCCTCATGCCCAACCTAAATCTCCCCTCTCCCAGTTGAAATCCAAGCAGGAGGGGCAGGTCCCCTCACCTGCACATTCCCGTGGGCACGGGTGATGATGTCAATGCTGTCCCCGTTCTGCTTGTACTCCAGGATGCAGGCATTGTACTTGGCTGTCAGGATGAACAACAGGTCCTTGCTCTCCCCCTGCCAAACCACAGAGTCATAAAATCACAGACTGGTCACGGCTGGAAGGGACCTCTGGAGATCATCCAATCCAACCTCCCTGCCAGAGCAGGGGCACCTGCAGCAGATCCCAGAGGAACACGTCCAGATGGGTTGGGAACGTCTCCAGAGAAGGAGACTCCACAGCCTATCTGGGCAGCCTCTGCCACCCTCAAGGTCAAGAGGTTTCTCCTCATGTTGAGATGGGACTTCTCAGGCTCAAGTCAGTGCCTGTGACCTCTTGTCCTGTCACTGGGCAATGCTGAGAAGAGCCTGGCCCACCCTTCTGCCACCCACCCAGCAAGTATTTGCAAGCACTGATGAGATCCCCCCTGAAGCACCTCTTCTCCACACTCAACAGCCTTGGAACAGCAGGGACATGGCCCAGTCCCCTCATCAGCTCTGGAGCCCTTTGCTGGCCCCTCTCCAACACTTCCTTGTCCTTTATCAACTGGGGAGCCCAGAACTGGACACAGTTCTCCAGATGTGGCCTCACCAGGGCAGAGCAGAGGATGAGAATAACCCCCCCTGACCTGCTGGCCACACTCTTCCTGATGCCCCCCAGGAAATCATTGTCCTTCTTGGCCACAAGGGGACATTGGTGGCTCATGGCCAGCCTGTTGGCCACCAGGAATCTTTTTCCACAGAGCTGCTTTCCAGCAGGTCAGTCCCCAACCTGTCCTGACTCTGGCTCTGCTGGACAGACCCTCTGGAGTGTTGAAGAAGGGGATGGCCCCACCTGAATCTCTCCTCTGGGACAGCCTTGCTGCCCTTCTCCCAGAAGCAGCAGCACAGAGGAACAGGGACTTCCCTCAGCTCCCCAGGGAGGCTGCAGAAAAGCCTCAGCAGGGCAGAGCAGAAATGACTAACCATCCCCAGCTCCCTCAGAGGAAGACACCCCAGCCCACTCACCATCCCTGAGGGGTTCTGAGGAGGGTGCTGGAGCTGGCAGCCCCCCTGCCCTCCCCAGGGAACCTCCCCTGGCACCCACCTTGGGGCGGAAGAGCTCCATGACCGCAGTCTTGCCGTACATCCCCACCTCCTTGACAGGCCTCAGCCCCTCAGCTGTCACCACATAGATCTCCAGCCGGGTGTTTTTGGCAATCAGCAGGTTCAGATCCTCTGCTGAGGTGAAATGGCCTTGGGAAAAGGGGGAGACAGCACCTTGGAGCAGCCAGGAAAGTGTTCCCAAACCAGCCGCCCCTCCATGGAGCCGTCACAGCTGAGAAAAGATCTCTGAAGTCACTGAGTGCAAGGGGGGGACACAAAGAGCACAGCCCACCCAAAACCAACACCCACAACCCACCAAGCTGCCTCATGTCCCTCAGCACCATCTCCAGGGCTTGGAAACCCCTCCAGGGATGGGGACTCCCCCCCTGCCCTGGGCAGCCTGGGCCAGGCCCTGACAACCCTTGCCAGGCAGGAATTGTTCCCCAGATCCAACCTCAACCTCCCCTGGTGCAGCTTGAGGCCGTTCCCTCTTGTCCCATCCCTTGTTCCTGGGGAGCAGAGCCCAACCCCCCTGGCCCGGCCCCCCCCAGACACCAAAACCCCACTGACTTCTCAAAAACCTCAAGCCTGACCCAGATCCCCCAAAGAAACCCCCTCCCTGGCACCCCCAGGAACTTCAGTGCACACCCAGTGTCCTGCACCACCTCCAGGAACCTCAACGTGCCCTGGTTCCCCTCCTGCACTTACCCAAGAACCTGATGACACCCCCAGTTCCCCTCGATGCTCCACAGCACCCAAACACCTCTTCAGGGGCCTCAGCACCCTCTCAGTGCCCCACAGCCCCTCCCAGGACCTCCGCACCCCAACAGTGCCCCACAGCCCCTCCCAGGACCTCCGCACCCCAACAGTGCCCCACAGCCCCTCCCAGGACCTCCGCACCCCAACAGTGCCCCACAGCCCCTCCCAGGACCTCCGCACCCCAACAGTGCCCCACAGCCCCTCCCAGGACCTCCGCACCCCAACAGTGCCCCACAGCCCCTCCCAGGACCTCCGCACCCCAACAGTGCCCCACAGCCCCTCCCAGGACCTCCGCACCCCAACAGTGCCCCACAGCCCCTCCCAGGACCTCCGCACCCCAACAGTGCCCCACAGCCCCTCCCAGGACCTCCGCACCCCAACAGTGCCCCACAGCCCCTCCCAGGACCTCCGCACCCCAACAGTGCCCCACAGCCCCTCCCAGGACCTCCGCACCCCAACAGTGCCCCACAGCCCCTCCCAGGACCTCCGCACCCCAACAGTGCCCCACAGCCCCTCCCAGGACCTCCGCACCCCAACAGTGCCCCACAGCCCCTCCCAGGACCTCCGCACCCCAACAGTGCCCCACAGCCCCTCCCAGGACCTCCGCACCCCAACAGTGCCCCACAGCCCCTCCCAGGACCTCCGCACCCCAACAGTGCCCCACAGCCCCTCCCAGGACCTCCGCACCCCAACAGTGCCCCACAGCCCCTCCCAGGACCTCCGCACCCCAACAGTGCCCCACAGCCCCTCCCAGGACCTCCGCACCCCAACAGTGCCCCACAGCCCCTCCCAGGACCTCCGCACCCCAACAGTGCCCCACAGCCCCTCCCAGGACCTCCGCACCCCAACAGTGCCCCACAGCCCCTCCCAGGACCTCCGCACCCCAACAGTGCCCCACAGCCCCTCCCAGGACCTCCGCACCCCAACAGTGCCCCACAGCCCCTCCCAGGACCTCCGCACCCCAACAGTGCCCCACAGCCCCTCCCAGGACCTCCGCACCCCAACAGTGCCCCACAGCCCCTCCCAGGACCTCCGCACCCCAACAGTGCCCCACAGCCCCTCCCAGGACCTCCGCACCCCAACAGTGCCCCACAGACCCCCCCAAGGGCCTCAGCACCTCCTCAGTGCCCCACAACATCCCCAAGGGGCTTCAGCACACCCCAAGGACCTCGGCACCCCAACAGTGCCCCACAGCACCCCCCAAGGGCCTCAGCACCCCCTCAGTGCCCCACAG